TGCTTAACTGCCGTCCTGCTCCGCCTGCTGCTGTTGCTGCTATGTGATACGGCGATGGCTGACAGGGTTTGGGGATTCGAATCCAGCCTGATGCAGGCAGAACTTGCTGCTGCTTGATTCATCACTGCTTTGGGGATACCAGTGGCGTCAGCTTGGTGTTTCCACGGTGAACACGCGCATGCAAGGTGTTGCTGTTGCAGCCGGGGGTTTCTTGCTGCAGGCATGGTTGTGAGGGGCTTGTGGGCCTCTCAGCCATGTGAGTAGCTAAAATAGGTCAAATTAGAGCATCTGGTGCAGGAATGCTGGCAAGGCAAGGCATCCGGGGACACCACCAGCTGACTTGCCAGTCTTCCTACCCCTGATTTTCCATGTCAAGTCGTGAGAAATGTGTTCTATGTGTGTTTGTTTGGAGTCAATTTTATGTTTTTCTTTGAGTCTTTGTCACTAGCAGCTCACGAATGTGTATCTGAGTGGTGTGTTGTACTAGGTACCAATGGTTAACCTGTATGCTGTTCACCAGGTACCATTGCTGTCAGCACTATGTGACAACGTACACAATATGAATTCAGGTGATCTGACAAATCCAAGAATGAGAACGGCAAGTATACTAAGCGGTTCACATCACACCGAGAACCAGAACAATAAACTAAGGTCAACTTCCAAAGTTATATGTTCCAATCAGCCAGCGGATTGAGTCGATGCACTGTACTGTATGTTGCATCTAAAGCTGATGCTTACTGCCCTCTGCTTCTAGCGAACTCAAGCCACTGCAACAGAGAGAAACAGGGAGCGGACACACAGGGAGGGCAGTTAGGGAGAGGGAGACGACACAGACACAAAGGGATGGGAATCAGGGATAAGGAGCCGGTGGTACAGCATATAAAGAGGCAAAGTATGAATCTCGAGATCAGTGTCCAACCAAACAGTACATCAATCTATGCCATCCCTATCACTGATAAAGTCACCTCTTCAGCCCCATGCCAGCATTCCCCATGCCATACCTGTCTAAGCAGGCCTGCCAGCGTGCGAGGGAGCGCGTGGATGTCCCTCAGAAGGATGTAGTAGGGGAAGGGGAAGGAGTCCAGGTAGCTTGAGAAGGCTGGCACCCCGTCTGAGAATGACACGGACTGCAGGAGGGGTGCAGGAGAGGGCAGGGAGAAACGGGATATGGCTTGTATGAATCTCAAAGTCAGTTCAGGTAGGTTGAGAGAAGGCTGGGACCCCGCCTGAGAATGACACGGACTGCAGGAGAGGTACGAGAGAGGACAGGGAGGAATGGGGCCAAGACAGGGGATAGAAGGGTTGAGGAAACGGAGGGAGAGTGTGTTGCTGTAGCGGTTGGTACCTGAGCAGACTTCAGCTGTTGGTTGGGGCCAAGACATGGGATAAAAGGGTTGATAGTACTGAGAGTTCATTGTGTACGGGAGAAGCAGACAATGCAGGCTTTCTCGGTGAAAAAAAAAAAGGGAAAAAAAGTAGGGCATTCTTGGTTGTCGGGTTTTGGGCAGGTTTTGGGTTTTGGGCGGCTGCAGGTGATTGAGATTTTGTGAGAGTGCGCATACCTGCATGTCAAGGATGGATTCAGAAGGGCTGTCCAGCAGAATGAAGGCCAGCAGCTGCCCCTTGCCCATGGCATGCCGCACTGTGCGCCTTAGGGTCTCCTGGCGCGGTGGACGCACAGGGGGGTTTGGGCAAGGCAGGGAGGGAGTGGAATGCGTGTTGGAGAAGCAATGAGGTTGTGGGTGTTGTGGGAGATGGTTCCACGCAAGGGATGGAGGGGGATGGAGCGGGACAGAGTTGCGCCATGTCATGTGCCATGCCATGTGCATCGTGCCATACCGCATGCCACACCACATGCCACACCACATGCCATACCACATGCCACACCACATGCCACACCACATGCCACACCACATGCCACACCATACCTTCTCATGGAACCGCCCATCCGCCACAATCAGCACCAGCTGCTCCAGATGTCCTCCTCCTCCCGTGCCCGCACTCGCAGAGTATCTCATCGCAGCAGAATCCAGCGCCCCAGACAGAAACCGCAGCAGCTCCACCATTGGCTCATCCGCAATCGTGTTGTCCTGCTTGAACGAGAATTGCGAGATGACTTGCACGGCTGCTTCAGGAGAAAACGGCCGGTCTAATTCATGCAGCATGCGCACGTTGCCCGGCTCGCCGAAAGCAACGACCCCGATCTCCCCAACCTCGATCGTCGCCATCGCTCGGCAAATCGTGGCCATTGCTTCGAGCGCTAGATGCCCGCACCGTGCCTCCGACATGCTTCTCGAGTCATCAATAGCTAGAACCACCTGGTATTTGCGCTTATCCGGGCGGGTTCTCCTCAGCCAGATCTTATCCCGCTTGAACCCGCTTGCAATGTACGGAATCACCTTCTTCATGTTGATTCTCTTCCCCGATCGGTAGTCTCCTTGCAGTTTGGTCGCCATGGAAGGTTCTAGAATGAGCCGCAGCTGCTCTGCTAGCTCCTGAGAGGCGCCGCTGCACAGCAGCTCGTATTTCCGCCACGCGTCGCGCGCCGCTTCGAGCTTCTGCCGGCCCTCCTCGCTCTCCCGCATCCGCTGCATCTGCGCTTCTACCTCGGCTCGCATGCGCTCTAGTTCGATCTCAGTCCACACCTTTTCCCTCGCGCCGCCAGCAGCGTCCGCGCCCTCTCCTGCTCCGTCCTCTTCGGCCTCTCCCTCTTCCTTCTCCCCGTCCGCCTCTCGCAAGCGCGCCGTTTCCTTGACCTCCTCTTTCCATCTCATGGATACGAAGCTCGAATCCATAGCTCCAGATGCGTCCCCATCCACCTCCATCTCTTCTCCTTCCAATTCCTCCTCCTCTTCCTCCTCCTCACCCTCCTCCTTCGCCCCTCCTGCCTCCTCCCCCTCCCCATCCTCCTCCTCTGCTGCATCTTTCATCAGCTTCTGCTTGTTCTTCCCTCCCTGCCCCCCCCCAGTAATTGTCTCCAAATCCTTCCCCTCCTCCTCACCCTCCTCTTCCTTCTTCTCTGCTTCCTCCTCCTCGTCCCCCACCTGAGCTTCTGCGCCTTCCTCCTCCCCTTCATCCACCATCTTCCCTTTCATCTCCTTCATCTGCTCTTCCGTTGCTGCTCCTGCAGCCTGCCCTGTTCCCTCCTGCTCACCCTTCACATACTCATACTCCTCCCCCTCCGCATTCTTATCCTTCTCACTCTCTCCCTCTACCTCCTTCTCCTCCTCCTCTTCCTCCTCTTCTTCTTCCATATCTCCTGCAATACTCACCTTCTTTTTCCAAGCCTCCAAAGCACTCCCCAAGCTTCTCATCGGGTTCACCTCTTCCTTCTCCTTCTTCCTCTTCTCCTTCCCTCCCTCCTCCCCCTTCCTCCTCTCCTTCCCACCCTCCATACTCCTCTCACTCTTCTTCCTCTCCTCCTCTTCCTTCTCCTCCTCCTTCCCTTGCCCCTTGGTCTCCTTCTCCTCCACTTCCATCCCCATCACATCAATAGACGCCGTCCCCGCAGCCCTCACCCCTGCCACTTGCTCATTCCCATCCTGTTGCTGATCTCTAGCTGATTTCGTCCCCTTGATATCTTTCTCCTCCTCCATCTGCTCCTCTGCTACTGCTGCCTCTGCTCCCGTGCCCATGTTCTCAGGCTCTTTCTCCTCCCCCTCCTCCGCTTCCTCCTCCTCACCTCCCTCCCCATCCTCATCCTTCACCTCCCCTTCTTCTCCCTCCTCCTCCCCCTCCTCCCCTTCCTCCTTCTCCACATCAGCATCCCTCTCCTTCTCCTCTTCACCCTCCCCTTCTCCCTCACCCTTCTCCTCCCCATCCTCCTGCCCCTCCTCATCCCCACCACCAGCAGCGTCAGCAGCAGCACCGCCAGCACCATCATTCGCCCCATCCATCTCGTCCCACTCATCATCCTTCACCTCTCCCTCCTCTTCCTCCTCCTCCTCTTCTTGCGGCCTCCCATGTGATCCCATAGCCTCCTTTGCTTCTTCCACCTCGGTCTCCCCTTCCTCCTCCTCCCCTCCCTCCTCCTTCCCACCCTGCTCTCCTTCATCTATCTCCATATCATCAGGAAGGTCCAACTCTGGAACTTCCTCTTCCTTTCTCGGTGTAATTCCGTGAGATTCCTCCATCTCCTCCCCTTCCTCCTCCCCTTCTCCCTGCCACTCATTCACCTCACCCTCCTCCTCTCCCCCTTCCTCCTCCGCCCCTTCTCCCTCCTCCTCCCCTTGCTTCTTCCCCTTCTCGTCCTTCTTTGCCTGCTGCTCATCCTTCCCCTTCTCCTCTTTCTCCTCCTTTGCACCATCCTTCTCCCCACCCTCCTTATCATCCTCCCCGCCCTCCCCTCCCTCCTCATCCTCCTCCTCATCCTTGCCTCTATACTCCAAATCCTCCTCCCGCGCCCCCGAAATCGTCGAGTCCTTCTCAAACTTCTCCTTCTCCCTCTTTCCCTCCTTCTCCTCCTCCTCATCCCCCTTCCAAATCTTCTCATCAACCACATCAGCATTATCTCCAACATCTCCCATCTCCTCATCCAGTTGCTGTTCCTCCTCTCCCTCCTCTTCCTTCTCCTGATCCTCCTCATCCTCGCTTATATCATGCATATCCCCATCGAAGTCTTGCTGCATTTCTATTCCCTTGGGTAGCTTGTCGTCCTTGCCCTTCTCCCCTTCCTCCTGCTCATATTTGTGGGAGGCAAGCGCGTAGTGAGAAAAGTGGAAGGGAGGTGTGAAAATGCGGAGAGAAGCGGGAATGCAGAGAGAAGTGAGAATGCAGAGAATGCTGTGAGATATACCTGGCCGACGTGTTTTAAGCCAGCTTAGAACAGGCCCTTAAGAAGAACGTCTAACATACACACCTGCATCCTTCCACTTCTGAAAACATCTCAAAACATACACACCTGCATCCCCCCACTTCTCGTCCTCTGTCGGAGTTTTATTAGAATTCCCTCAAATACCTCTGGAAACGTCTCACAAAACCCCCAGCAGAAGCACACACAC